TTCTCCTCTCTTCCACCCTCTCTCTTTCTTTCTCTCTTCCTCCTTCTCTCATCTCTCCCTCCCTTTCCCTCCATCTCTCTTTCTCTCTTTCATCTTTCTCCATCTCATCTCTCTATTTCTCCCTCTATCTCCCTCTCTCTCACTCTGATCTCTTTCTCCCTCTCTCATCTCTATCTCCCTTTCTCTCTCATCTCTCTCATCTCTCTCATCTCTTTCTCCCTTTCTTTCATCTCTCTTTTCCTCATCTCTCTCTTTCTCTCTCACATATCTTTCTTTCTTCCTCTCAGTCCCTCTCTTATTTATTTCCCTCTCTCATTCTCTCCCTCCATCATTTTCTCATTTCTTTCTCTTTTTCTCTCTTTTTCTCCCCTTGTCTCTCTCTCATGTCTTGCACGCACGTGTGTGCACAAGCAGGATACCCTCAAGCCAGGATCATGGGAGTGGCCGGGGTGGTGACTCCTCCCGCTGCCGCCACTGCACAGTCAGGCAAGAAGCTGGCTGTGCTGCGCAGAGAGCCAGAGCTCTTCCTCCTTGCATCCGGCTGCGGTGACTGCTCCTCCCCATTCCCCTCCTTCCTGAGCCGACACGAAGGTGACCATGTCTGATGCTGAGCTTTGGAATCGCAAAAAGCAGCCAGTCGCAGGCAGTGTAGAGAAAGTGCTAAGGGCATTTTAGCCGTGCAGCTCTGTGGAGAGGCTTGCGCCTTCTCGGGGGGGGGGAGAGCAGGTCGCATGATCGGGACAGCAGAGAGCCCCAGGAGAAGGGTCAAAGAGCCGCGTGAGGCTCTCAGGCCGCGGGTTGCTGACACCTGCCATAGATTATAGATGTCATTATTGAGAACATAGTTACTTAAATAGAAATTTATTAATTTGCTTTTTTTAAAATAGCATTTCCATCAAATCCAGGACATAGCTCAGCTTGAAAAACAAATAGGGTCCTTTTTAGCACTTTGTAAAATATGAAACCATTATTATATAAGCTTCAGGTTTACCCTAAATGTACCATGTAATTGGTGCATTTAGATTGTAGCAAATTCTTCACTTATTGTGGAGTCCTTGATATTCTCTGACCTTGTTAGTTCGCTTGCAAATATTTTGTTACCCAATTGGGTAACATCATCAGTACTAGTGGGAGTGGTATTTGCTCACTGTTTACATGTAGCTTGTTCTACAAGTATTGGTGGGTCGTTTTCTCCTTGGTAGTTCTTTGATTAGGGCATTATGTTCTGTCTGATTGTTTGTCTGGTGTTAATCCCTGCTTATCTGGATGTAGGTTGCTGGAGAGTACATGCTCCGGTCTTTTTGTTTCTTCCTTGGTTATATTAGCAGGTAAATTTAAAAAATGAGGTCCTTTCAGTTTTCATGTTTTAATGTCTATAAAGCTTTATAAGTACTGCTAAAATACCCTATATTCATGTTGTCACATATCACGTGCTATGTGGTAACAGTTAGCAGCTGCTTCAGATTTTAAATAAGCTGTCCAGATTTTAAATTGTCCTCATAAAAAAACAGGAAACCAACAAGATTGTGAAATTTTCAACTTATAAAACAATTCACATTTCACATCTTCTACATTCTAAGGTGAAGATTATCATGGCATGTATAACTGAGGCTGAGTCATATTTGAGAGCATGGTGCTAGGTAGTCTGGTGTTTGATAATAAAAAATGCTATGTCACCAGGGCTACTTATATTTCTATGTGCAAAGGTAGATCTGTTTTCTATAAGTACACAGCATCTGAGTAAACTAAATATTAACTGAATAGCAGGAGAGCAAGTTGGATATAGGGACAGTGGACATGATGATGCTTTTATACCCACAATGCAGTGTTTTATAAAAAAATATTGTAGATACATTTTATTTTCTCTTAAGCTTTTGCTAATGGAATAGAAATTTTATTAATATACGTTTATATTATTTCTCAAACATTTTTGGTCCCACAAAAGGTATGATCATATGAAGATAAGTTTTTTACCGCATGGAAGAGATGTGATCCATTTAAACATTTATATTAAATTCAAATGAAAAAATAGAGCATATAACAGAATAGCAGAGTTCAAAAGCACCTTGGAGATATTCTAGTCCAGTGTTTCTCAACCTTGGCGATTTTAATTCCTGTGAGTTGAAGTTCACAGGACTTAAGTTGCCAAGGTTGAGAAATGCTGTTCTAGTCCAACCCCTGTTCAGGCAGAAACCCTATACTATAGTTGTTCAATTTCTTCTTAAAAACTTTCAGTGTTGGACCATTCACAACTTTTGGAGGCAAGTTGTTCCATTGATTAATTGTTCTAACTGTCAGGAAATTTCTCCTT